TGCTGGCCCCTCCTGGATGTGTGCCAGAATAATTTTCTCGATCAGCTTGCCTAGGATAGAGGCAAGACTTAACTGGCCTATAGTTTTTTTTGACTATGGAAAAATAACGGCAGTTTTTCTGTTGCAAAGAACTTGGGCCACAACTGGTCAGAATATTTTTAATACAGTTGATTCCTATTTGAAATCTCTGGGTTTAATTTGGGAATCATGTTTGCCCACCTAACAAAGTTAACATTGCATGGCAGTTGCCCTGAGATCCTTTCAACCACCCCAAGGTGCTCCCTGTACCCAGCTGAGAATCACTGCTTTAACATGGCAAAAAAAATCATCTTTATTTTTGTGCATATGGAAATGGAGTGTGATTTAGCAATGTAGCAAAAAACCAAACAACTTGGTAAATAAATGCTACCTCATTTGTGCTTAAAATCTGCTCTTCAATTAAAAGCACAAACTTGGTCTAAATTAAACCCATTCAAATTAATTTGTGTATAGGGTTTTCCTTCGTTAGTGTCCAGCAGTTTCTCTTTACCTGTAATTTTTCCCCTTGTTCTGTTAAATGCAACTTTTGCTGTCTCCCACAGCAGAACTTTTTTCCATGTGATCGTATAAATTCCAACTCTTAAACCAGACATCTGCCAATCACATGGAGAATGTGTATGCCTTCACAGGTGTGAATTAGCAGCAACATCAGAAGTCTTGCATGTTGGAGGCTTCTGTCATGGAGGGTAGATAGAGACTTGGAAGTGTTTTCCTTGCTGTTCACCAGTAACATAACTAGGGCACTGACTTAGGAGGGGCACCAGACTTCACCCTCCATAGGTGACTTGCAGGGGGTGAATGTGCCCCCCCCCAACGGCCAATACCGATTCTGTCAGTAGGGCTGCTGCTGTCAGCGGCTTTTGTGGGTGCCCCCACAGATTCAGGCAACACCAGTCACTCATGCATCCCCCACTCCCATGGGGTCCACACCCTAGCAGCATGAGCAGTCCCACAGTTGCTCCTCCAGTGGCAGTCAGTACATAGTGGTTGTGCTGCTGCTGCTGTTGCTTTACAAGCAAGAGCCAGGGCGGGCAGCGTATGCAGCAGCGGGGGCAGCAGGCAAGGACACGGAGCAAAGCTGTGTATCCCTGCCCCAACACTCTCCTGCAGGATTGGCCCTGTTGTTACGCTCCTGCTGCTCTAACTTGAGCCTGCTTTTCTGGGGAAAAATAGTTCAGTTTTTCAAGGTGTGTAAAATGCTTTCTGGAGGCAGACACCTCTGGCTGATTCTGCTCTCCCTGCTGGCCTCTGCAGTGCATAACTCACATTTGGAAACTTGCACAAAATGTTGTTTGAAAGTCTGTGCCTGCAAAAATAGGAATGATTTAGAGTTGGTGTTCTGGAGAACTCATTTCCAGCATGTGCATATTCCCCATTTGCTAGATCTGAATAGAAAGACTACATAGATATGTGGTAATTTGAGCCTGTAACTGGAGAGAGTTGGGCTGTCTAGTATATTTGGAATGTCATGAAACAACTACTTAAAAATAGTCAGGTTTCTTTTCCCTTGTAAAATTGAACCCGTAGTTTATAATTTTGGATTTCTTTTAACGCATAACTGTTAGCTGTTTGTACGGCTAATTTAAGAAAAAGTAGTGGGGTGAGTCTGAACTGTCGTCCTCATCTAACTCAAAGCTCTGTGAAGGCCCCTTGAATCCCAGGGGCGTAGGAGGCAAAGCGAAGTGGATGCCGAGTGCAGGCCTCTTGTGCACAGCTGGCTCTGTGGACATTGGGGGGCAGGGCTAGCCCATCAGGTGACTGTTGTGAGGATATGGACTCGCTGTTATGAAGTACTGAGTGCCGTCTGTGCTCGCTGGTTTTACTGGGGTCTGAGAGTGCTCAGCACTTGACAGTTTTATATCTAGGGCCTTTGCAGGATCCTGTAGTTTTGTGCCCAGATGCAGCAGATAGGCGTGCTTGGTCAAGGAGGGCAGATGCTTCTTGTTTCATTTCCCTCTTTATGGACCTTGGAAGGAACTGAACGCAGCTTGGGGCACAGACTGGCTTTCTCTGTCACGGTCAACACAAAGCACATTTGTGGCAGTAAATAATGAACACAAATTATAAAAATGAAACTGTTTCATAAGTGATAGTACTGAGAGCAGGGCCCTTCCAGCCCCTCCAACTTCTGTTTGTGGGTTTTTGGGGGGGGGGGGGGGGGGG